AACCCAATAAAACCACTCCTACTGCTAGATCATTGTCCAGCCCACTGCTGGGTCACAACTTTCGTTGTGATTTTATTCTAGGACTTTTTTGGGAGGGAGCGGATCCTCTTTTCTATTGATCTGCCCTTGATGCAGTAGATCACTTATTTATATATTTTGGATTTCTGGGCACCGTGACTTGATTATTGGGAGCTTTTTGACCTTCTTTATTTGTCGCTACTGTTCGACTGAAGGTATATTGTTCTCCCTTATTTTATTCCTCTATTTATCTTAGAGTTATTTTTCTGTCACGGGTGCCCTAGTATTGTTGTTGATATGGCTACTACTGAGGGACTTGAGAACCCTACTGTTGACACCTCTACCGTTGAGACATCTATGGGTACTTCCACTTTTATGTTTGACCAGTATACAGTGCCTACTAGCACAGTTGCATTACCAGCATTACCGGGCATGATCTCTCAAAAAGTTACGGCACAATTGTTGAATGGTCGTAACTTCGCTGAGTGGTCACGCTCATTCCAGCTTTTCTTAGGCCGTGTAGGAAAATTTGGTTGGCTGACGGGATCTCACCCAAAGCCAGCTGATGCCGACCCTGGATATTCTGCATGGTTCTCTGAAAACTGTGCCATTCTTGGATGGTTATTTGGCTCAATGGAGCCCTCTGTTTGCAAGATCCACCAGTTTCATAGCTCTGTTCCGAAGCTATGGAGCGCATTATCAGAGATGTATTCTCAGTCAGGACGGGGAGTTCGTGTTTATGAGCTTTCTCAGGAGCTCTCATATGCTCGGCAGGGAGATATGACCGTTCAGGATTATTATGGCTATTTGACCCAGCGCTGGCTTGAGTATGAGTCTCTACGTCCTCTTGCTGCTATTCCGAAGATAGAGCCCGAGGGAGCAGCATTCTTGCATACTCGAGAGCAGGAGGATAGGATTCACAAGTTCCTTATGGGGCTTCGTGATGAGTTTGAGGGACCTCGTTCTCAGATCTTGTCGATGTTGACACTTCCTTCTCTTTATGAGGTGTATGGAATGATTGAGCAGCATGAGCGTCGAGTCCGTATTGCATCACTTCCAGTTGCAGCTTTGCTTCCTTCGATTGACCAGATGGCCCTTGCAGTTGCTGTAGGGTCCCGTTCAGGATCCTTAGTCAGGGATAGGCAACGCTCAGACCAGCGCCGTCAGGGCGCCCCAGATCAGCGCAAACGGGGGGATTCCCGTCAATGTGATTATTGTGGCCGACCAGGACATCTCAGGGCTACTTGCTGGAAGCTCCATCCAGAGCTTAAGCCACCTTCTCGCAGCCGTACTGTGGCTATTGCTGAGGTACCACCGCCCACTGCCGCCACTCCTGCTACTGCTCCTCCTTGGCAAAGTGATATGGATGCTATCACTTCCCGATTAGATATACTTATGTCTGCTCTGACTTCTCAGAGTCTGACTACTGCTGCTGTCACCACTACAGGTATATCTCGTGCCTTTCACGCTTGTGCCAGTTCATCTCCCCTTTGGATGTTGGACTCGGGTGCGAATGGTCACATGACAGGTGAGGCCCATCACTTCACCACTTTTGACGAGCCATTACATACACAGGTTCAGTTAGCAGATGGAACACATGCCCCTATTGTTAGTAGGGGTACAGTCCGTCTCCCAGATGGCCTTACATTACATTCGGTTTTTCATGCGCCAAAGTTGGCCATGAATCTATTATCTGTACATCAGTTAGCCAGAGATTTTCACTGTGCGGTTGTATTCTTATCTGATTGTTATTTGCAGGACCTGAGTACCAGGAGGATTATTATCAAGGGACATGAGAAAGATGGACTGTATTATCTTGGCAATCCATCTCCAGTTTCACCAATTCCTTCACCTGCACCTGCTTTGTCTTTTTCTGTTCCTAGCTTGCATGCTAGTATTTTACCTAGTAGTTGTCGTTATGATTTTTCGTCACAAACTGTTCAATTGTGGCATGACCGTTTTGGACATACAAATTTTAAATATTTATGTATGTTGTTTCCTGCTTTGAGTAATGCTTGTGTTGGTGGTAAACTTGATTGCGTTATCTGTTCCCTATCAAAACATGTTAGGGCCAATTATATTCCTCGCATGCACCAGTCACCCAAGCCATTTGACCTAATACACTCTGATATTTGGGGACCCTCTCCCGTTACTGCTCTGTCAGGTGCCAAATATTATGTGACATTTATAGATGATCATACCCGTTGTACTTGGGTCTACCTTTTGCATAGGAAGTCTGATGTGCTCCCTATAATCACTCAGTTTTTACAGATGATTAAGACACAATTCGATGTCATTGTTCGTGCTCTTCGTTCGGATAATGCCAAAGAATATGTGTCTGATGCTTTAGTGTCTCACCTTTTGCTCAGGAGTATATGGACAAGTGTGTTGCTGAGACGAAAAATAGGAGTTTGATAGGGATGGTACGTTGTCTGCTTAGAGGCATGAGGGTACCAAAATCTTATTGGCATTTTGCTGTTTTGACTTCTACCTTTCTGTGCAATCGTACGCCGAGTCGTGTTCTTCAGCATAAGGCTCCCTTACAGGTCTTATTTCCTGAGCGGACACTTTTTCCGGTCCCCCTCGTGTTTTTGGATGCACATGTTTTGTTCAGGATCGGTCTCCTACTCGTCATAAACTTGATGATAAAACGATTCGTTGTATCTTTGTGGACTATTGTCATCAATCTAAGGGGTATCGATGTTATGATCCTATTAGGCGTCGTATGTATCACAGTCTAGATGTTACCTTTCTTGAGCATATTCCTTATTTTCCTTTCAGTCCTTTGTCTGCCCCTCCAGTTGATGATACTCCCTTTGATTTTTCATTACCACAAGAGTCAGAGTCATTGATCACTATCCCTACAGGGTCATCCGTTTTTCCTCCAAAGGAATCACTCATCCCTGTCAGTACAGAGTTACCAGTCTCTCTTCCTTTGCAGGTGTATGCTCGTTGTCCTCGCTCTCATCACCCTGCTGATATCCCCTCTACCTCAGGCAATGCAGGTAATACTTCTCAGTTTGTTGAGCATATTGATGCACCTGTTGTTAGTACTGATGAGATTACAGGTGCTGAGCCAGTTACTTTACCTGATAAGATATTATCAGTAGAGGATGGTGATTTAAGGCGTCGTTATCCAAGGCGTGATCGCCGTCCAGTTGATCGATATGGTTGGACCGCAAAGATTTTATATCCGATCTCTACTTATGTTTCTTATGGTAATCTGTCTCCCACATTTCGAGCTTATACTATGGCCTTATCAGATACGCTGGTTCCTCGCTCTATTTCGGAAGCTATGCGGGAGCCCCAGTGGGTTCTTGCCATGCAGACAGAGATGGACGCTCTTCAGCGTAATCATACATGGGATCTTGTCTCCTTGCCTTCAGGGGTGAAGCCTGTTGGCTGTCGCTGGGTTTACACCCTGAAGTTTCTTGCGGATGGTACTATTGATCGTTATAAGGCTAGACTTGTGGCGAAGGGCTTTACTCAGGTACCAGGTCGTGATTTTGGTGCTACATTTGCCCCGTGGCAAAATTGACTACTGTTCGGTTAATTATTTCTCTGGCTGCGGAGTACTCTTGGCCTCTTCATCAATTAGATGTAAAGAATGCATTTCTTCACGGTGATCTGGACGAGATTATTTATATGGATGCACCACCGGGCTTTCGTGGTGAGGGGGAGTATGCTGGAAAGGTATGTCGACTGCGTAAGTCTCTTTATGGACTGAAACAGTCGCCACGAGCCTGGTTCTCTCGCTTCAGTGATGTAGTCATACGATTGGGGTTCACCAGGTGTCATTCTGATCATACCTGCTTTATTCGACGGAATACTTCTGGACAGTGTGTCATCCTTCTGGTATATGTTGATGATATTATTATTACTGGTGATGATGTTTCTGGGACTGCGCAGGTCAAGATAGACCTTGGGAAGGCCTTCGATGTGAAGGATCTTGGATTTCTGCGATACTTTCTTGGGATTGAGGTTGCCCGTAGAAGCAGAGGTATTGTTCTTTCTCAGAGAAAGTATGTTTTGGATCTTCTTTCAGACACTGGGATGTTGGGGTGCAAACCGGCATTATCACCTATGATTCCAAACCTGAAGCTTACTGCTGAAGGTGAGGAGTTGAAAGATCCGACAGTTTATCAAAGATTGGTAGGTAGACTTATCTACTTAGCCAATACTAGGCCGGACATTTCATTCGCAGTCAGTCGAGTTAGTCAGTTCATGCATAGGCCATGTCAGCCTCATCTTGATGCAGTTTATCATATTCTTCGGTACCTCAAGTCTTGTCCTGGACTTGGGTTGTTTTATGCATCAGGATCTCAGACCGGTTCTCTAGCCTGTTATTCAGATTCAGATTATGGGGGAGCATGTGATGGTCGATCTACTACGGGTTTCTGTGCTTTTCGAGGGACTCATCTTATCTCTTGGAAGAGCAAGAAGCAGGCAGTTGTCTCCCGCTCGTCTGCAGAGGCAGAGTATCGGGCATTGGCACTTGGCACATGTGAGATTATCTGGCTACGTTCGATTCTTGACGAGTTGGGTTTTTCAGTGACCTCTCTATCCACATTATATTGTGATAATCAATCTGCTATTCAGCTCGCTTCTGACTCTGTACTACATGAGAGAACGAAGCATATAGAGATCGATGTTCACTTTCTTCGGGAGAAGGTCAGCAGTGGTCTTGTTACTCCATCGTTTGTGGGGACCAGTGATCAAGTTGCGGATGTTTTTACCAAACCTGTCACTCTGTCTATTCTTCGGGACTCCGTTGTCAAGCTTGGCTTAGTTGACATTTTTGCGCCTAGCTTGAGGGGGAGTGTTGGAGTATAGATAGTCTAGGTTTATTAGGATTTCTTTTTCTAGGTTTATTAGGATTTCTTTTCCCTTTTTTACCCTTACTATGATTTTTATATTTTGCCTATATATACGGAGTTTTACTCTTAATTTGAGTATCTCCTTTTACTCACAATTATTCCAAGTTAACTAAAGTAAGCACGAGCAGCATATACATGTGAATTACATATGAGCAGAAGAAGTGTTATGAGTAGAAGGGAGGAAAGGATGTTCAAATTGAGAGCTATAGGATGTTCAGTACAGCAAGTGGAAGATTTTATTGTTCGAGAAACTTGATGAATGAAAAAATTCATTATGTAGAATGGTGTAAAAAGGCCTTTGCTTGTTACCTGGATAACATTGATAGTTTGCTTGATTGCCCACCCAAACAGAAGTAAAGCAACTAGAGTAAAATGAACTAAGCTTTGTTTTGCAGCATTCACTAAAACCTAAAAAGCAAAGTATAGATAGATCAAAATAATATCAATAAATCCTCTCAACATTTAGTGAGAAAAAAAAGCATTATGGACAAAATGAAAAGCTTACATCAGTCATATTTTCAGCCTGGTTCTTCGCAAGAAGAAATAGAGTTATGTACAGAACCTGCATTACCAAAACACTCAAAACTCCAATGAGTAAAGAATTCATGTTAATTAAACCTCCAAACTAGGAAAGAACACCAAAGAGACATTCACCTCGCAAGCTACACAACAATAGCCCATAAATATTCGGTTTCCATAGTATGCCTTGAATAGCCAACTAGTGCTGTCTTTTACATCTTTATGACTAGCTTTGCCTACCAAGAAAGTACTGCGATAAAAAAGTGGTGAAAATATTTGAGAAATTAAAGATCCATAGGAAGTCTAGATGAAGCCGAACTCAGAAACTACAAGTGAAGATTCCACCTGCTTTTCTAATCAAGAATATTAAGGTTTAATATTTCATAGAAAGATATATTTTTGGTGAGTTAAATACCTATACATTTGCAACCAGTGGCTGGCAATATCCAAAGCCAGCAATGACAAGAAAACCAAGCCAGGCCTGCAAACATAAGGCAGAAAAAATTATTTTACAGGGCTTAAAAATTCCTGAGAAATTACTGCCATAATAACTCAAAGCAAATTCTACCTATAAACTTGGGAGAGAATTACCAGTAGACAAGCAGTACTAATCCTGGGAGACATAGCGAAGTAAGAATAAATGAAGAATTCAGAATCCATGTGGATTAATACAATAAGGACTCACAAAAAATGGGAGGAAAAATAAGGGAATGCAAGTTTAATAGATAATCACCTATCTGTCACCATGTCCAGAACAGCTCCAAAGGTTGAAACTGAACCAAGAAACAGAAATTGATGAATCAAAAATGTTTAACCAATACTCTCTATCCTAAAATCACTGTACTGAATCATACATGCGCATACAATTTAACATGATATTGTAATGTCATTATATAAGACATGCTTATCAAAAAAGGCAGACAAAGAATTTATACAAGAATCACCAGATACCCTGTATGATCAAGTCTTGATCTGATTTGAGTCATATATGTGCCCAATGTAGTTTAGCATTAACAGTTTTGAACTCCTGAAGCTGTCATGCCAATACTGTACTATAATGGCTTTGGCTATTTGTTTTCACATATTTTAAGAATCAACGATATTTGATAATTTCTAGAGGTCATACTTGGGTCTGAGCCTACTTATGTCAATTGGTATCCATATGAGTTCCAGCAGGCCTACAATGGTCTACGGTATCAAACTTTCAGAGTTCACCAAGGGATCCCAGAAGAAAAAAATTCCAAGATATCATTTTAAAAAATTCCAAGATATCATTTTAAATTTGTCTGGATGAAAAAAAACTTCAAAGGTAACCTATTTTGGAGTGCTAGTCGCCAAGTAGAGAAACTGAGCAGCTTATAGATATCAACATATACCTCTAGAACAAAATACCAACACTTGTTTCTTTACGTTTTCCCTCATAAACCCTAACTACGTAGCCCTATACATTTCCCCACCATTGGACAATTAACACCCAAACCAGATGCAAACTATGTATAAATCTGCACAGAGAAATAAATGTGTATTTTTGTGATTTGATCAAAAATATCTTGTCGCGGGGTATTTTTGTCATTTTCTTTAAGTCTAATCTGCCTAGCTGAGCTCGCGTGAGGACTACTTGGGTCAGGGTTTTTTTATATCAACGGCAATGTCTCAGGGATGCCTGGAATGTTTGGAGATTGTGTAGATTCTGAAGGGTTCATGTACAAACTGAAAATAAAACTGAGAAGCTAAAAGCAAAAAATGAAGAAAACGAAATTTAGAAGTCCAGGCATCAAAGTTCTTCACCCACTTAAACCCAATGATCCTTAATCAAAAAGAGCAGAATTCCTTCGGAATCTTTTGTCGCACAAGACCAAAGATATATCATCACTGAAATTTCATCCCACAAATCTTCCAAAGGAGTCGGCCCCTCATCAAAAATCCTTTTATTTCTTTCCAACAATATTATCCAAACAAATGCCAAATCTGCACATCTCCATAAAATCTTAGTTGTGTTGTACCAAAACCCTCAAAATCAATGACAAAGATCAATAATCTCTAGGAGTCACCCAAGGGAACTCAATTGTAGCCAAAAACCCACTCCACAATTTAGTACAAGGAAACAATGTAACAATAAATGGTGCATACCTTCCCCCCAATTCTAACAAATGTTGCACCATCGTGGGTAGAGAAAGTGATTTTTGGAGCAAATCTTTAGAATTAAGTGTCTTATGTGAAAGTAAACCACACAAATAGTTGACCCTTTAATGGGGTCTTTCCATATCATATTTGAAGTTTGGAGAATTAGAAACTACGCTTATCAATCAGGGATTCAAAAAAAATATAACAACAGAAATCCCCAGATGAAGAAATGGTCCAAATTCATTGATCCAAAGAAGAACGATTCAACGCATGATTATCAAGAATACTCAACGGAGAAGACATGTCAACTACTTCTACATCATTCAAATCCTAAATAAATCAAAGTTTCAGCAAAATGGGGTTGAAGAAGATGAAATCATACAAGCAATAGTTGAATTAGGAGTTCTAGACAAACGATATTAAGGAGGGAATATGGATAACAAAAGGCAATTCATCCCCCAAGAATTCAAACCGAGCCAATTCCCAAAGCCTTTCAAGTAAAAACCCTTCAACTCTCATCAACCTAGCTTTCTTAATATTAATTAGCTCACCATAAGACAAATAGTAGATGTCATCTCTAGCACATTTCTGCATCATTGGTGTAATTCAGGTAACAATTGTTTTCAGCAACATTTTGAATTCTCTTTCAAAAAACCTAAAGATATCAAAATTTTGCTTCTACCATCAATGTACACAACACATTGGGAGAGAGAGACATAAGAGCACTCCAAGCAAAGGCTTAGGGACAAAAAATGAGATGCATAAATTATTTGATGCTAGACAAGAAGAAGTTAGAGAATAGAAAAAAATAGAAATGGAGATCTACCTCATCCTTGCAAGAAATTGGACAAGAAACACACAAATCTCCGCACAGAAAAATCCACTCATAATCATAATCTCTCTCTATTGAAAATAGTAGGGATACACCAATATTTATAGGCTAAATCTTCTACTAAAACAAAAATTATTTCCTACTAAAATTTTAAAATAGTTTCATAATCAAACTCTTAAATTAAACTCCTACTAAAACTCTATAATAAGTCACTATTAAAACTCTCACCAGTACTCTTAGTCAAACAAATATTCCCTAACTAATATAATAATACTAAAATAACTAATAAATTCCTATTCTTCAATTTAAAATTTATTCAATCCCTTTTCGATCTCTATCAATTCTCTCCAATTAAAAAAACTCTTCGACGAAGAGTCATAAAGGCAAAAGGACTCCAAGAGATCTGAAGAAGCTTGCGCTCCAAAGAAATAGAAGAAGCTTGCGTTCCAAGGAAATAGTACTGTAGATCCCCACGATAGAAAATAATCACTTAATGTGTTGCATCCTTGGCAGTCTTGTCCACATATACTAGTATAATTGAAGGAAGCATATAAATCGGTGGAGACAAAGTAGTAACTCCATCTGCAGTGACACCCTTTGAAATTTGTTTAACTTTATTGGCAGGATCACCCTTTAAAATCGATTTATCAAAAACAATACAAACAATTGATGTATGATGAGAAGGGGAACTTAACTTTTAGGCTCATCAAGAGTGCATAATTTCAGTTAATCATTCAATTAAACTGAATCTTGTGATGGTGGAGCATGTGGTGGAACTAAAGGGCTGTGTTCAACCACTTGTGGATTAAGGGTTGAAGAGAAAAAACTGAAATCTTCACTTGTCTTACTTTCACGAGCTGCAGTCAGCAACAAAAGTTCTCTTAGTGAATCCATGGATGCTCAAATTGTATTTAACCTATCACTCAAGGCTTCTTGTGCACCAACACATTCTTGAAATAAAGCAAGTACTTTGATATTTAACTCGACATTGGAGACCATCTTGACTAGACGAGAGTTTAGAGAAATCTCTAAAAATTTTGGGGTCAATATGTAATTGCAGAAAATTATTGGGCCAAACTATAATTTCATACACTTTGAGGGCCAAAGTGTAATTTCAGATATTTTAGGGGTTAAACTGTAATGTTGTCATGCTGCTGGGGATGGAGCAGAAATTTTTGAAAATGTTCAGGGTGATTGTGTAATTTCAAAAGAAACTTTAGGGCTGATTTTTGTCAGTTTTGGGTCAGTTTAAAGGAAATATGGGTGAGATCAAATCCAAATTTGAAAACCCAAAAAACTGGTCTTCTTCCTTGCGAAATTGAAAGATGACTGGCTCAAAACCTTTCAACCCTAGCACCCAAGCCCAGCACTCCTTGTACAGGAACAGTAAACAACGACCTGTGACGATGGACAGTGATAAAACAGTAAACTGTTTGGATTTTTTTTTCATGCAGATTGCAGACTACTTCCATCAACAGTATACCTCAAAAAAACCCGTCAGTAGAGCTGTTAATTAAACCGAACTACTCAAACTCGGCTCGGGTTCGGCCCATTTTTTGCTCCTTTAAGCTTTAGCTCATTTTCTAAATTAGGCTCGTATACAAAACGAGCCCAGGCTCGGCTCAAACTGGACTCATTCAAGTTTGACTTGTTTTCTAAACGAGCCAAACTTGAATAATTTTTTAGACTCGGTTAAGAAAACAAGTTTTTTAGGCTCAGTTCAAACTCACTCAAGCTCATTCACTCCACCGGTCCGTGGCATCAAAGATAACAAAGACAATGATTTAATGCAGCGCGGCTGTGATGTTATGGTGAAGACTGATCCAGATTTTATCAGTTTGGAATGAGAAGAGTAATTTAAGAGAAACAACAAGAAGCTCTAAGATGGATCGGAGTTTTGCTTTATGCTAGACGGGAAGAAGAAATTAGAGAATAGAAAAATAAGGGAAGAAAAAGAGAAGTGGAGGTTTACCTCATTCTCGCAAGGAATCAGTCAAAAAACACACAAAACTCCTGAGAGAAAAATCAATTCGTATTTATAATCTCTCTCTACTGAAAATAGTAGGGATACATCAATATTTATAGTAAAATTAAATTAAAACCCTACCAAAATCCTATAATAATTTACTATTAAAACTCTCACTAATACTCCTAGTCAAATAAATATTTTCTAAACTAATATAACAATAATAAAATAACTAATAAATTCCAACTTTTCAATTTAAGATCCAATCCCTTTTTGCTGCTCTCTATCGTTATTGCAACTTAGAGATTGAGCCTCATACACAACACATGTAATTGTGCGGGTATGTTTCAAATCCACCGAGTTCATTCGTTCCACACTTCTTCTTTAAGCCATAACTCAGGCCAATAAAGAAACCTAAATCTATAACTTGCATCACTAGCAAAAATCTAATTTATTATTCAAATTAGGAGCCAAAGTAGCATATCGTTCATCAGAAGGAATCGCGATAAATTCATACCTTGATTGAATTTGCGGGCAAACCAACCATCCAAAGCATCACAGACAAAACTGAAACAACGAACTCAATCAATTAAAGATACAAAAGTGATCAATAAAAAAGTCATAAAACAGAGACTCTCACCTAATAAAATAGAGGAATGAAAAAAGTTTTTTGTCATAAAAGCAAATGGCAAAGGCAACGCAATTCATTAGAATTCTTATGTACCCTGCATAGCCAAATAACCAGAAATACACGTCAATGACCATATTGGCATAATAGCATTACATAAAGAATCACGTGCGAATTCTTGCATGTCCTATATTCTAGAAGGCATAAAAAATTGATACTTTCTGGAAAAAAAAAATTATTATGGACTCAAGCAATTATTCAAGCCAAATCTTGAGAATCCATTTGAGTATTA